CTTTTCTTTCATCATCTCATCAATCTTTTTTTTTGTACATTCATTTCACGATGAAATGGTGCAGTAATTTTTATCAAGCTTCTGAAACATTAGAAAAGCACCAAGAAAAATTCTTTGTTCACGAATCATCTTCTATGATAGCTAACAATAATATGGCTAAGAAAAATAAACTCACAGATGATTCATTGTATACATACAGTAATTTATCATCATATGTCAGACTACTATAAGTAAGTCAGGTTGAATGCTAATTGTTTATATAGTATCTTCGTTCACTTAATCAAAATCATAGAATACAAAAAAAGACGCTTTTTCTTCATGCGAATAATGAAAACAAATACGATATGCTGAAGTGCTATTGTTGATCTCTCATGGAAGAAACTTGACCTGTTGTCAAGTAAGAAAAACATATATATATATATATAACATCGATTTTTACTTCAGGAGTAGTAATCCAACTAATTGGGAAAATCTACTTAATATCGATTCTTATGATCTTTTTTTTCTTCAACTTGAGATTAACAAAAGCACTTGATATTACTCTATTTATTTACATAAATCGTACGACAAAAATAATATCCCAATCAATTACGATTGTATTATTCATGGCGCACTCAGTGTGTAGCACAATGTTCTATTGCCAACTGTGTATTAATAGTGTATAAATAACCTTGACTTATAATCGATTTTTATATCGATCGTAGATCCCACTGTCTGCAATTGATCACCGCGAATTTAATCCCCCCACTATATTCAAATTTCTAATCTTGGCATCAAAAGAAAACCGTTTGGTTGACTTTGTATATACATATATTGATTGAATAGAAGGAAAATTTACAGGTTTAAAAAAAACATCCCACTGAAGATGGTGATTCGTTTATTTTTGTATGTGATTAATCAAGCATTACTTTTTACTCTTTTCTGACTATTCACATTAAAAAGAAAAGCAGTTATTCTTATGAATCATTGATTCCGATAAATATGAGATCAATCGACATCTGGTCGTTTCTTTTTCATTTTTTAAAAGAACGCTATTCGTTTGCTTATACATGATGAGCAACATATCCAAGAGCAATTTTTCTCTTCTTCTTTTTTGTTTTGTTTCATTCATTTGCTTTTGGCCTCGAAGGAGAACAGAAGGTCAACGCACACAGTAGTAGTGATGGTCTAAAGGACATAGACAAGCACGCACATACAGCTATATGTACGAATGAACGCTATTTTTGAACGAAAACGTGTTTGTTTAGTTATCGACCTCGTTCGTTTGTGCCCTTTTTCTATATGTGTATATTGTGAGTATGTTTGTCCGTTGATTGGGCAGACGAAAAGAAAAGAATGAAGAGAGAGAGAGAGAGAGAAGAGAAAAACGATTTTCGTTAGTTGAATAACGGTATCATGAGGACGCATGGGTGTACGTGTGCATATAGCTTATTATTTCTGTTCATTTGATATACCAGAAAAGGGCGAAGCAGTCGTTGTTTTTTCTGTGTGTGTGAGCGGCCTTATCGGTTTCTATATGCATTTGTGTCCATTTCGTTTTAGAAATCATTGGAACGACGATAAGCAGATTCATTCATTCATCCTATCTAGCAGTTCAGTAAGTATAAGGAAAGCTTCTTTCTCCTCATGCATCTCAAAATAGTACTAAATCAATGATAACGCTCGTTCACCGGATGAGATCACTTGGTTTCTTCTCTCATCAATACCAGCTGCTGCTTTCCTAAGCACTTTACATAATACAAACAACTTTTCTTTCATCATCTCATCAATCTTTATTTTCATCCTTGGATACATCTGTTGCTGATGTGGGTATAGTTTAAATGTAGAAATTTCTATTTGACCCCTTCTATCAAAGAAATATAAATCCTACGTCGAATTTTGAAGTCTATTAAATATGAACTTTTTCTCTTTATTTTTACTTGACAGATCATTCGTTGTAGTATCAGATTAATATTAATTATCAATTAACAAAATAAATGGAACGAGAAATGAATGAACATAAAGATCTATTGACAACATCGCCTGATGAAGTTGCATTCATTAAAAAAGCAAATATTGTCAAGTAAGCTATGGATTTTTTTCTGTCTGCCTGTATGATTGATACATAAAAAGCACGTCGCAACAAAAAAATGAAATGCGTGATTAGAAAAAAAAATATTCCCTTTAGAGATATAAAAAAAATTGTAGTATCAGTTGGTGGTAAAGTTGTTTTTATCTTTTCTTTTTCTTGCCTGCTTTCTACGATTAATTATCCTTCGAATATATATCGTACCATAGAGGCTTTATCAAAGGAAAAAAAAGTTGACAGATGGATGACATAGCACTAAACCACAAAACAAAATATATATTCATATCATCGATCATCTACGCTGTTTTGATTAAGTCCATTGTGGGATGCAATGATGTTAATCATCAAAAAAGAAGAAGAAAAAAAGTATATAGATATATATATACGTAGGGATATATCGGTTAAAACCGTGGATAAATGTATATTGATGATTGTTAAGAAAATAATTATCAAAGGTCAATTCACAACAGGACTCAAAGATAAAAAGCGTTTAGATATCAATTTAACTAATGTCGTAGCTTATGATTTACTAATTAAAGCCGAAATACTGCCATCGGTTATGCTCGATTCACGACAATAGTAAACTATATAAAACAAAAACACCATATAGACAATGTCAATATTTGTCTGTATGTGCTAGAGTGAAAAACGAGCTGTTGACCTCAATGAATGAGGAAGGGCGTCAATATGTGTATATATCTTAGTGTATGTTCAAAGGAACACTTCGAATACAAAAGCCTAAGATATGATAATAATGATTATTCGCTCAGTTGGATGATCAATAGATAGATTGGCACCATGCCTAGATTTTTCTTTTTCTTTATTCTGATTACAATCGTAATTGCTCGGCAGATGTTTCATTTAAGCAAAATTTTCTTTATTCAACTGTGTATACTGCCTGTCATTTATTTCGACATATTGGTCATAAGCCAAATATATCTATTGACGAGTTTTGACAACGACTAGCGTTCACGTTCGGCAGTCTATTCCAGGCATTTTTTTCTTCTGCTATTTTTCTTTTTTTCGTCCTAGTATAAATGAGAGATAGAATGTAACCAATTGCTATGATTACGTTTTTCTTTACTTTTTAAGTTAGTTGTGGTTATGCGTATGCTCGAGATACTATACTTTTTTCCCCCCCATTATCATCATCATTTGATCGAATGTTTGAGCTCTACACACAAACGGGTGCGATGAGGCGGAAGCGCGAGCTCGTACGAAGAAAAAAAGAGAGAGAGAGAGCACGAGAGAACAAGAAGATGAAAACCTGTTGTAATGAGCCCCATCACACTAACTCCTGATTGGAGTGTCGTCCCAACCAAGTTCACCTCTCTCTCTCTCTGTGTTTCTTTCTTTCGCGCTCTCTCTTTCCCCCTTTTTTTTAGATATGTCCGTTAATTATCCCTTCTCTGTACTGTCTGTTCGCTTTTTTTCTTCTCCTGCTCTCTCTCTCTCTCTCTCGTCTTCCTATCTTCTCTCAACTTCATAGCACATATAGTGGTTACTCTAGTTAATGAAAGACAAAAGAAAGTAGTTGTTCGGAGAAAATTTCAATCTGCTTTCTGTTCTTTGTTTCTAAATATATCTTTTAGTTACTGTCATCGTTGTGCCGACTTTTACTTCTTTTCTTCTGCTCATTTTTTTAACTAACTACAACGCAGACATATAAACTGTTTCTTTTTTCTTTCTCTCATCTTCTTTTTCCCTGTAGACCATTTTTTTGTCTATCTGAAAAAAAAACCTATGGCGACCACTGCAGTCCAACTTAATGAACGTCAACCAATGTTAACTTCGACCGAAGAAGTTGTTACTTTAAATCCGGTTGCCTCATCAGCCGTACAGATTGAAACTAGTACAACAGTCGTACGAAAGTAAGTGAACGCGTACCATATGCATACACCATATTCAATAACTTCCTTGGTGTCAGCTTGAAATTCTTTTTATTTCTAATCTAATGGTTTTTCCGGTTTTCACCACCCGCTGTGTTCATTTGTATTCATTGATATGTTCTATGCAGATAAAGTTTCCTAGTTAACGTTATAATGTTAATTTTTCATTTGCATATCCGGTTGTAGTCACGGAAATGAAAATATCGATATGAAAGTGGTGGTAAATTTCACACATAATTGTAATGCGATAAAAAAAAAGACAGACAGAGAGAAAAAGAACTGAACGGATAAATCTAGACAAACAACTGTACGTCGTTGTCTTTGATAAGATATCAAACTCTACCTCTCTCGCTTGTATTTACGTACAATCAGACAGATAGAATAGATAAATCGTTCATTCCGGTATTCATCACATTTTGCCTCCGCCTATTCTTATCAATCGGCATACGGAATATGTCATCAATCAAATAGTTATGAAGATGTACTAGTGTGAGGAGATATGTTTGACATGGAAACAAATAAAATAGATTCTATAGACATCGATCGATAAACTATCATCAATCGTATTATTTCTATTAATGAGTTTTGTTTATATTTAGGAATGATGCTGATGTTGTACCGGAAGATAAAAATAAATTTATTCAAGTTATTCGACCATTATTGGTTGAACTTGTAAGTCAAAGGCAAAAAAAAAAATAAATAAAAGAATGATACTTATTTTTAAAATTATTTTATTTAGATTGGTACCGCATTATTTATTCTTATTGGTATGTGGGGTGTATGTTCAGGTGCTGGCGTTCTTACCGCTGCGTTAGCATTTGGCCTTGCATTAGGCGTTTTTGCTGCTAGTTTTGGACATATATCTGGTGTTCATTTTAATCCAGCTGTTACAATTGGTATTTTAATTGCTGGTGAAATTCAAGCATTAATGGCTGTACTCTACATTGTCATGCAACTTTTAGGAGGTGAGAGATTTTGTTTTTTTTAAGGAAAACAACAAAATTTTACGGATATTTTGTCTTTTCAGGCATTGCTGCTGGCGGTATTTTACGTTTATTACTTACAACAAATGTCTATGGTCAATGCAAAGGCGGAGCAACACTTTTAGCTAAATATGGCAATGAAACAGTTGCTAAAGGTGCTGTTTCTTATGGAGTTGATTCAGTTCGAATCTGGCAAGTATGTAGTTAACAAAAAAAGAGAGAACAAGCAAATGAATAGATAAAATGATTTCTTTTTTTCTCAAGGGTATTTTAATTGAATTTATTGCTACGTTTGTTCTTGTAACTGTCATTCTCATGGTTGTACTTGATACAAAATCAAAAACTGGTCTTGCACCATTACTTGTTGGTTTAACATTGGCTGTTAATATTCTTGCTATGTAAGTTGACATAAATATGCAAAACGAAATAAAATAGTTGATGTTGATCTACGTAAATTTTAGTGGTGCATATACCGGTGGTTCACTCAATCCAGCTCGTTCACTTGGCCCAGCTATTTTTGCTCATCAATGGGACGATCACTTTGTTTACTGGATCGGCCCAATTGTTGGCGCTATTGTTGCTGGTTTTCTCTATCGGTAAGTAACTTTCGAAAAAACAAATGTGGAAAACTTAAAAATTTTGCGTTTTGTTATTGTCTAATAGAACGGTTTGGGCTCATCATGATCGTCGTATGTTTGTTAAACGTACATCAGCTGCAGCAGCTAGCAAAGCATAAAAGCAACAATGAAATTAAAAAAGGCGTTCTACCAATTTTCTTTTCTCTTATCAATGTAAGCGTCGTTTTGGAATAGTTAAAAAGGAAAATAGACAAAAATTTATGTGTATTCGTTGTTTTGGCGTGTTTATTATTCATTTCATTTTTGTTTATTTTCTCATAGTTATTTTCTACTTCATCTTATGTTTTTCTTTCTCATCTTTTTCTTTTTCTTTTGTGTGTATATAGATTAGAATTCTTGTTAGCCTAGAAAACATTCAATAATAAATCTTCTGTTTGTGTTTTTGTCTTTGATTGCTCAAATGGGAAAAGAAAAAACTGATATTCTTCAATTGAGAATGATAGTATCATTCTTTTTCTATTTGTTCTCATCTTTTTTTTTTTTGTTCGCATTGAACACCATGAATTTATCATCTTCGTCATTGTTTTTTTTTTCTTCTTCTTGCTTGAGTGCTTGTTCTATGTATGAAATAACGTTTTAGTTGAGTCATATTTACAGCAAAATGCACGCTCGCCGCATTTTTATGTTTATTGCACTTGTGGTTATATCTCTTTGTTCTATTATTATTATTGTCAGCTGCTTTTTTGTCTAATAAAGAAGTCGATCCATTTTGTTCTTTGTCAACTAGAGAAAGAATAGATAGATATAAGATTCTTTTGTAATGTGAAAATAAATGATGGCATTATTTTTCTGAAGTCACATGGGGCAATTCTGTCAGTTTTTATTTAACAATGAGTGGTAACAATCAATTAGAAAACGAAATACTATCAATTGCTTTTGCATGGAACATTTTTCGACAGTATCATCTAATATAATTCGTTGTGAAATTTTCTGCGCAAAGCTCATTTCATCAGGCATTTTTTAGTGGAAAACAAAAACTTTAAGTCTAACGATGGCGGTTTCGAGTAGCAACTAACAGAAAGTATCATCTTTCAGAGGTTCTAGAATACAACATTTTGGTATTGAATTCACGGTAGACTGATAGGCAGAAAATTGTGAACGTTTTATGTAGAAATCTATTTGATTGCTTATTTTTCTTAGGTTATTTATAGATAGTAAACTGAAAGAAATGTTTAAAGAAAATCATATTCATAAAGATGAACAATTGCCAATACTATTAGATTGTTTTCAAAGCTTGATTAAAGTAAAATAAATCTACTTTTAGTAATTCAAGACTCACACTCACTCACAGAGGGTTTGGTGGAAAAGGCAGAAAGGGAAAACGTCGAAAAAAAAGGAAAATGCCGAAAAGGAAAACATAGAAGGGGAAAATGCAGAAATTCTAAACGTCGAAAGGTAAATGTCGAAAATTGCGTTTTTTGATAATTTTAACGAAAAATAAAAATTTATTCAATCATATGATAAAATACAATAAAAAAAAGAAAACTAAGTTTATCAGTATTATTTTCTTTTTTTGTGTGATCCAAGTAGTAATGCTAATCCCTTCAATAATTGCTTTGCATTGATTACCAAATTAAAAGAAAAAATTTTCGTTATCTATAGACATCTTTTTCATTCTACGTTTTCCTTTTCAAAATTTTTCTACTTTTTTTCTCTGGCAGCTTTTCTTCGACACTGTTATTAATTATACTTTTTCCTTTCGACGTTTTTACCTTCTGCAATTTCCAGTTTCGACGTTTTCCTTTTCTTTTTCGACATTTTCCTTTTCGGCGTTTTTCCTTTCTGCCTTTTCCGCCAATTCCTTGTGTCCTACATTCAAAAGTAAATACAGAAGTTTAACTTTTTATAAATCCAAACATACCTCTCGAGACTTCAGTATCAATAGAACTATTCAGTTCCGAATATCTCTACATGAAAAATATTATCCTACTTTTATAATTATTTTAATTCACCAAGTATGTGTAATTATATTAATTCGTTCGTATATATCCCCGTAGAATAAAATTATACCTAGAATGAACACCAAAAAACAAAGCTATTATAATTCATATGTACTTATTCGAATAAGACAATGCTTATCGTTTCTTGATGCTTTTATATAATTAAAGAAGAAAAACAACAAGAAACTAGAGAAGTTTAACATCGATAAAAGGAATAGAGCAATAAATGGCCGAATAAAGAGAAAAAACGAACGATAGCTAGACACAAAATAAACGTTGATCAAAACGAAATAACTACATAGAACATATCTTTATCTTTTGCTATTTTTTTCTCTTAACAAATCTGTCTTCGAATACTTTTGTTTTCTTGATATATTTTTCTTTCGGATGTATGTAGTCTTTTACAGTGTGCAAGTAAACAATCAACAATGGAAAAAAAACCAAACGAGGAAGAACACTGAATAACTTGTAATAAATATGTTTGCCTTTTTCTGTACAAACAAGAAAAAAAAAGAGATGTTCACGAAAGTAGAAATGCATATTGCCCATCTCGTATTGCTGTTGTTAATTGGTAAAAATAAATCTGGATTGCTATTATCACTATTTTCAGTTGCTTTCCGCACAATTGTTAATGGAGGATGAAACATGCGAAAACCTAGAAAAATAATGTTAAGTTCTTAGTAAATATATGACCGATGATTTTTGTAAGGGATCGAAAGCAGCTTTAAGTAGATTATGAAGTCAAATGACGATGCCCCTTACGATCGAAAACCTACCACCGTGGCCGAGGCACTGCGATGGATATTTCTGGAAATGAATCAGCGAACGGGAAAAGGTTCGATCTTGCGAGGGAACGTTTTCAGGTGTCAAACCGCTGTTCAGGGTGTGGGTGTGGGGTGTAGTTGGACAGAAGATCAACAGTCTAATCCATACCCATACCCACACCCGTATGAATATTATCTTTTTAAGGTAAAACTCTTGCAATCAAGGACGATATAAAAGGTAATGATGACCGATTTGACTGAAAATGGTGCACGACGAGGAGAGAACAACGGTCGACGACGTGTTCAACATAAGACTCTCCGCATCATTTAGAAAATCGTTCTGATAGTGCTCCGTCTTCTGCCATGCATTTTGTATTTACCTACAATCATCACTAGCACTTCTACCACATTCGACAGTTACGGGTTAGCAATTGATACTTTTTTGATCATAACGTATTTGATGACACTCATTGTAATTGGCCTAATTGTATGTCAAAGTTCAGGTAGCACTGACAGCAATGAGCGAACCAACATCAACAATCCACATAATCCTGCAGAAAAGCATTCAATGATTTCTAAAATATTTCTGGTTATCCTCGAATTCGGCGACTCCTTATTCAACTTAACAAGATTTGGTGATCAATTCCTCATAATACTGAATGGTACTTACGAGAAAGATACGAACTGTGCGGTTACTATTGTTGTTTTAGCTATCAAAAATCTTTTTAGAAGTATTTATCTCTTATGCATACTCATCTTCATCATGTATCACCCGAAAAGCAATAATCACTCAAACTCTCGATGGACTTATATATTTTTATCGTTATTGCCGTGGTCTTTACTTTCTCAGTGGCTTCTATTACTTGGTCAGGAATACGATCAAATTCATAGGGAGAATGATACTTGTATAAAAAAAATGATAGCATGATATATCAATCATTCAAGAACGTCGAACCATATTTATACCCTTTACGACTAGAGTTCAGATTTTTCTGCTTTATAGAACTATTAATTATTGCTGATTATGTATCTGACCACTTACGAAATAATGAAATTTCTGAGTGCTCAACAAAAAGTTTAAAATGGATCTTTCCAAGGCTGACCAACTGTTTCGTGATAATCCATAGAGTCCCAAATGTACAACGAGTGCAACAAAACAACTCTGTTCACGAAAACAGAACTCCTCTCACTTGCAAAATCCTAATTTTATTAATCGCGGGGACGACTATAGCTACCAGTACTTTTATTTTCATCTTTTTTCAAGAAAGAAGTATTGATCATGACGAATATACAGTCATCCTAATTAGCGAAGTCTTTGAAGTCGTACTTGTACTTATAATTTCAATACATTCTGCATTTTCTCTATATAAAATTCGAAGCTCACATACCAGTGGCATAACAGCTCAATCGTTCAAAAACATACCTTACAAAGCCAAACTCGATTTAATCTTCTTGGTAGTCGCAAATATTTTCTTGGTGATTTTATGTCTTCTGACATTTTTTGGAACAGTGCTATACAGTACTAAAATTGAAATACAAATAGCTGTAAAAGTATTCACAATCGTCGTCTCAGTGATGCCTATTCTACAAAGTGTACTACAGGTGACGGTAATTCGTGCGATTTGCACTGAAAGCCGTTTAGGCTACGATATGGTTATTGGACACATTTAGCGCTAAACACTATGCGACGAATAAAATACAACAACATGTATATGGGAAAGAGCTTTGGGACTATTTGGGAGCCGTTTTCATAGTTGTATTGTGTTTTCAAACATAAGGGATCAGATATATTAAGAGAAACTGGGGAAAGAGGTGTCTTGAAAAGTTTCGTTATAATTCCAAGCTACTCACCACGATTGCTACAAACATTATTTCCAGGTTCGGGTGTGGGTGTGACAGGTATGAATGTGAATGTGCTTGTGGCTGTGGATTCATCCGTGGGGCATGACTTTAGATATGGTACTGGTTTGGTGTTGGTGCGATGCCTTGGTGCGGATCTAGGTCTGCATAGGATTCACGTGTGTTGGTGAAGATCGTGTTTGTGCATGTGTCTGCTGTTGTGCGGAATGTGTACTATATGTGCCATGTTGGTTTCCTTGTGATCCACGCACTTTCCACGCCCATACCCACACCCACACCCATCCATTAGAATTATTTGCATTATTATTTAAAATTGCACCGTGTGTACATCATATTAAATTAGTTCAAACATATAATTCATCGTTAAACTTTAAAACTAATCATCAATTATATGATTGTGTTAATCTGGTTATTAATCAATGTCAACAACGATTAAAATGTTTACGTCGTTTACATATTCAATTGCGATCTGTATCCGATTAGGTAATATTAAGAATGAAATGTCATTATTTATTTCATGTTTGTCTTGAATGAGAATTTTCTCCACGGGTGTTTTTGTTTGATTTTAGATGGTTGAGGAACAAACTTTTCAATTATGGCGTCGTACACTCATTATTTTTTAATATATTTTATATTCTATTGGCATTAGCTTTTTCACTTTTTTTCATCCTTACACGAGTGAATTCTTTAATAATAGATGCGCATTTATTGTTTGTATTTAATATTTCTGTCTATATTTGGCATTTTTGCTGCTACAAAACAGCATCAAGTATTGTTATTCTTCTGGTTATATTATTTCTCTCTCAATTCATTCTTGCATGCACGTATTTAACCGTTCGTGGTCAAACAAAATATAATTTATTAAAACGAAGTTATGAAGAACCAATTGATGACACTCAAAAAACATATGATTGCCGTGGTTCTGATAATTCAACTTATTTCAATCGTAGTGTAGTTTGCCGAAAATTAGGTTGCTGCCATTCGACAAGTGACTGTTGTGAAACATTCTCAACGTGTTATACATTATTAAATAATAAGCTTGATAAAAATTTTAAAATAATTGGTTCAATTATGCTCATATTAAATTAACTCAAATTATTGCCATTTACACGACATTAAACTTTCGAAATATCCGAAATCCAGCGCTCTTCGTTGAATTGAATGTGATACTTGAATCTCTCTCATCATCATTTTCTTTTGTTTTTGAAAATAAAAACAATCTGATAGATAGTTAGATCTAAAAAAAATAAAGTATGTTCGTTTTTTTTTCTTTTCAGATATGTCGCAACAACATTTTACCACTCCACCGTCGATATTCGCCAGACAAAAAGATGGCGATGTACCAAAAAACAAACACGAGAAGAATATCGACAACAAAAAGAACTTGAATAATTACGAAAAGCTGGTTCAGCACCAGCTGAAATCGATGAAGAAGGTAAAGATATTAATCCGCACATACCAAAATACATGACTGATGTGCCATGGTACGTTACATATGATCATGAAAAGCCGACACTTAAACATCAACGTATACATCCGGAAAAATCCAAAGAATATGATACTCTCAATGAATGGTAAGTAATATCATATTCAAAAATATTTGTAATTACATTTCATTGTTGCTTAGGTATGCTCGTGGTTATGCCGATAAAGTGGCAACACGTTATCGTCCACGTCGTTTAGATGCACGTTTTACTGGTTCCGATTTTGCACCCGATGAATATATTCAATATCATGGGATGACAAGCGTGATCGTTGGAATGGTGTTGATATCAATTGGCATCAACAGAAAATTCGCAATGAACATCAACGTTTAGCTGAAGCAAAAAAAAGTTCTTAAAGCTAAAAAATTAGATGAAGAAGATGGCGAATATAAATATACCGATTCCATGGATATGCCTGGTCAACATGTTGATTCAAAACAACGTACTAGTGTACATAATCTACGTATATGAGAAGATACAGCGAAATATTTACTCAATTTGGATGCCGAATCAGCTTATTATGATCCGAAATCACGTTCTATGCGTGATAATTCATTTGCAGGAACCAACAAAGATCCATCACAAGTACCCTATTTAGGTGATAATTTTGTTCGGTATTCTGGTGATGCAAAAGGTTTTTCTAAAAGTCAAATATTCGCTTGGGAAGCATCGGGAAAAGGTGTTAGCATTCATACAAGCTGATCTAACAAAACTTGAATTATTAAATAAAGAATTTCATGAGAAAAAGAACAATTAATTGAACGTTATGGTGGCTAAGAATATTTAAATAGTATACCACGTGAACTTGTTGTTGAAGCGCAAACGGAACAATATGTTGAATTTAATCGTTTTGGTAAAATTATTAAAGGTGATCAACGTGCCACCATTAAATCAAAATATCTTGAAGATGTTTATGAGAATGAACATACATCGGTGTGGGGGTTCTTATTGGCGTAATCATCGTTGGGGTTAAGCATGTTGCCATTCATTATTACGACAATCTTATTGTACAGGTACCATTGCGGAAGAAAAAGAAATTGAATTCGAAGTAAACGATAATAAACTTGATGATAACGTTGATCAAGATAAACCAAAATCACTGGTTGAATTACATCGAGAAACATTAAATAAAGAAAAAATTCAACCAAAATCTTCGTCGTCAACGGATGATAATAATTCTGTTATGAAAAAATTAGATAAAAAGAAAGTACAAGAAGCAGCAAGACAACTAGCTGAACGTGAACGACAAGCTGAAGAAATGGGCAATATTGATGAAAGAAAACGTAAATATAATTCATTAAAATCAGATATTAGTGAACATAAAGAGCCAACAGAAGAAGAATTAGAAGCATATCGATTGAAAAAAACATCGTCATAATGATCCAATGGCACAATTTAGTATGTTAAATTCTTAACTTTTGTCTTCGTTTAAAAGAAAGCAAGTGTCACTATGTACAACATGATTTACTGTTATATTGTATTCTTGTATTTGTTTAAATAAAATATAGAAATGATGGTTTAAAGTAACTTATTCATTATTGATATCTAACTATGTCAAATTTAATGGTATTTTTGGAGAAAAGTAGAAAACAAATAATAACCCGCTCGCGCACATTTGTACGCTGGATTATTCATGAGATAGATCATCATTGTTTTTTTTCGTTCTTTTTTTGCGCTGCATAAACAATGACTCACATGTATAGATGCGTAAGCCAAAACACCATCGAGACAAAGAAAAATCCGACACCATCGTTTTTTCTTTCTTGATAAATTCCGACTCGACTGTACGTATATATATATATGTACGGTTTCGTTATAAAAATAAGAATTTTAGTAGCTATAACCAATACATAAGACAATAGTCTCTGTTTTCTTTATTCAACAATGACTTGGATATGTGATGAATGCCAACATGGTCGACACACACGTTGTGAAAGTACATGGAGCTGTGATTGTCAATGTAATGTTGGAGGTGATGCTGATGCTGCACAAAAAGGTTTAGCCATTACTGGAGGATTAGCAGTAGCTATTGGCGGTTTATTTTTTGCTATATTCACCGGTGGTGTAGGTCCAATTCTTCTTGGTGGTGCAATGTTGGGTGGTGGCGTTAGTTCCACATGGAATGGCGCTGAAAAAGCAATCAAAGGTGAACGAATCAATGGTAAAACATTTGCTCTTGATGTTGCCTTTGGTGCCGTAACGGGTGTGGCAACTGGTGGCATTGGTGTTGCAGGTGAAGTCATAGCTACTAATGTTGTTAAACAAGGTGTTAAAGAAGTTGCAAAAGTAGGTGTAAAAAAATTAGCTGTACGAGCTGCTACTGGTGCTGTGACTGGAGTAGCAGCAAAGGCTATTGATGAAGTTAAACAATGTTCAACAACTGATAAAAAATGGAACGAAGATGGAACAGTAGTGTCATGGGTTACAAGTGCAGCTGTTGGTGCATTAGGTGGAGTCGGCAGTCATGTTAGTTCGAATTTATCAAAATCAGTTACATCTGGTATTGCTAAAAGTGCTACACGTGTTGCTGTGAGTGGAACAACAGCAGCCGTCAGTGATGCAACCGTACAAGGTGTTAATATAGCTGTTGGAAGCCAAGATAGCTATGATGTTAAACGTACATTTACAAGTACTACAACAAGTGCAATTATGACAGTAGCTCAAGAAGGAACAAAGAAGGCTATCTATCATGCCAATGGTGGAAGAGATAATATGTTACATGTTAAATCGAACAAAAAAGTTATTGAAGACAAGGTACCAGAAAAAAATCAACAAGAACTTATGGAACGATATGAAAATTTGAAGAAAATACAACAATCAATAGTAATAGCTCAAAAACAGAAAGCTAATACTTATACTACTGAACAACAACAAAAAGCTAATCATCAAGCAACTATTGGCCAATACGATAAAGATATAACAAAAGCAAATACCTCAAAGACGGCCGCATGGCAGAGTAAAAATACAGCAGATTTCGACAAATATAAGCAAGAAGCGGACCAATTAATAAGTCAAAAAAAAGCAGAAATTAAAAAATTTCAAGCTAAGTTTAACCCAACAGTTTCCAAAAAAGATATCCTTAAAATGAATAAGGATAATGCACATTTTCTTGTCGATGACAGATTTGGACAAGTAAGCGTTGATATTCCATCAACTGCTGGGACATCCCGAGGTGCGATTAGAGCAACATTCGATTATGATACTAATCGTCAAGGAGATCCACAATATAAATTTTCTGGCTATACAGATGCACACGATTATAATAATATGCCTCGTTATGGCCAAAGTGATTATTATACAATTCATCAAAATTATGATAACAACTTGAAAGTTGTCAATGGAGAAGTGAATAATTACATGTGCAATCATGCATTACAACATGACATCGACAAGGAAAAACAGAAGAAGAAACGAAATTAAAAATAAAAACATAAGAAAATATTGTTCTTTTTTTAGTATTCATTTCTGTTGAACTTTTTCCTATACAGTCGAATCCACTTATAAGAGTTCCGTATAAACGAACGGTACGCTTTTAATAGGCATTTTTTCGTAATGTATTTTACATTGTGGCAAAGTCTGCTTGTAAGAGCTTTAGATACAGGAGCGATTCGCTTATAAGAGCGCTGTTTTGACGCTTTTTCGCGATTTTAGTCCGCATAAAAGAGCTTTTCTTTTTTTTAACTATACATGATTATAAATATGCACTTACGTTCTTCTTCTTTCTCTTTTCTGTCATGTATATGTGATTAATTTTTCCTTTCCTGTCGTATACTATATGTGATGGATTTTTTCTTTCCTTCGTTCTTCTTTCTTTCTTTCATGTTGTTCTATGTTGGATTTTTCCTTCTACCTTCGTTCTATTTATTGTTCCTCATTTTTCGTTGAATATTTACTTTTCAAAAAATGGCATCTACCAGCGGTAAACGTTGAACATTGTCGATTGAACAAAAATTGGAAATCTTGGAAGCACTGAAATTCAAATAGGCAGACGATGTGGCTAAAGATTTCAACATCGGCCATTCTACGGTGAAGAAGATAAGGCAAAACGAAGAAGAATAAATTAGAAAAATAGTGATGAAAAATGGCAACTTAAGTCGAAAACGAAAACACGAAAGCCCTAATGAAGAAATCGCCGAGAATTTTACAGATTGCAATTCATATTATGATGTCGAAGACATGATCGAAAAGAACGCTTTAATTAATCGTATTCAACGTAAAATCACGGATTTCTTTAAGTAAATTTATGTACGTGTGTGTACTATTTAATAAATGTTGACAAGAATCATTTTTTGCACTGTTTTCCATGTAGTTCGCATAAAAGAGCGATCCGGATATAAGAGCCACTTTTTGATACCCCGACTGCGCTTTTATCAGCGGATTCGACTGTATTATTAAAATAAACGTGTGCCCGATAGCCAAGCATGATGCAATATGAGATATGCATTTTTTTTCTAGTAGAATAACAAAGTTGAAATATCGCAGCGGCATCTATGCAAACGTTAGAAAAACAGCCAGGAGTTTTGAAATCTATTGCTATATTACTTTTATAACACAAAGATACGCAAAATTGAATGAAGTAATGATGTATATTCACATTAATAAGTAGTATTATAGTTTTCAAAACTCATCATATGAGCCATTGCATGTAAGCACCGACCACATGCAATAGAACGTGCTCAATCGTATATCACAGATTTTACTCATTTTGATATATGTGATAGAGGAGAGTATTCGATGAACTCTGCGAAAAAAGCATCGAAAAATATTGAACTTATCATTTTTTATTCAATTTTTACGAAAATCTCTAATTTGGGTATGAGTATGGATGTGACGGTTGATCTTCTGTCCAATTACATCCCACACCCACACCCTCAAGATCACTATGCTAGTATTGTAACATATATACATTTGATATTATCACTAATTGTTTCAGCTAGGTAAAATAGCATAAATAGTCTTAATTATTCAGTCGAGGGTCAAGCGAGTCAATGTGACGAGCGTTACTTGTATATTTCGGGAGTATATAATACCAACCTTCAAACCATAGTCTAATTGATTGTAGAACTTGAGCAGAGTAACGCGCGTAGTCATCTTTATCAATTGATAGAATAACCAAGTATTCGCTTTTATAGTCACTTTTTTTTGTTTATCAAAATAAACTTTTTAAATTAATTCAATTTATTTAAAGCAGAGTTCTGAATTGTATAAAAAAACAAGGAGTATGAAATCTTGAAATGTTAATAACTGTTAGCAATAAATGAGTTTAATACAAATTAAGGAACGAAAGAAAAGAAGAAAAGAAATAGCATAGCAACAAGAATATTCAGCTAATACAATCGATGACAATAGAAAAAGTAATGTATTATGTTCACATAAAATAGTAATTAGTATAGATAATAGAACACAAAAGAAAAGAAGAGAACATGATGGTAAATATATGCGTGACGAAATGTAAAATATTTTATATGGAAAGAGTTTACAATAGTTCTTGGAAAGGTATTACATTTAGGATAGGCTTTTCTCAAAATTAAAAAAAATAGTATTTCTATTGATGAGAACTTAGATTCTAAATAGTCAGGAGAAAAGTGTCTAAATGTTTTTAATCAATTATTCTTAGGATGTAAAACTTTTCACATACTTTGCTCTATATAGCTCAACTATAGAATCTCCTTGGTCGCCACCTGCTTTTCTGAGAACTTCTTCAGTTACAAAGTCGGTTAGTGATCTAGCACCTTGAGGTGATTTAATATTTAGAAATTCACATCGTCCATTTGTTGATATTGCAATTTTTTGAAAATTATCCTTTGCGTAATCAGTAAGATAAAACGAATGAACAGGAATATTTTTATTTATCAACTTCTGTAATTCATCTTCATAATATGTTGGGACAGCAAACCTAGTCTGCTCCCAATAGGCTTCACCTAACTTGGTTCGCTTCTCAGTTACATCAGATTGAGTATTCGCTGGAGCATCTCCTATCAAAATAACTTGAGAAATCCCACCTTCCGTTTCACTCTCTTTAGTTGCATGCCAGAGTCCTATTTCAATTGCTTCCTCTCCCATCCCACCTTCAGGGTCGATGGTGGACATAAATGCCCGCAAATTCCTAGCTTTTGTCTCCCAGGAAGAAACTTCCAAAATCTTATTAACATCAGAGCTATAGTTTCGATACACAGCAAATTGCATCTGAAATACATTACAAGACAATCCCTTTAATGTTAAAATGTCTGAAGCGCGTTCAAACATCGTGCAGACGGTTTCTTTGGCAGCAGATAGTAAATTTGTCATAGAACCTGTGGCATCCATAAGCAAAACTGTACGTGAAGAAGCTGCAATTAAATTTGCTCCCTGATTTTGTTTCTTTAAAAACTCTTTTACTGCTACAATATTTCCTGAACTTAATGCTGCCATAAAATCTTTAGAATCTTTGTGTTCCCGTTTGCATTGCGCTATACCAACTCCTTTTGAACCACACTTACTTTCATAATGGAGATTACGAGCTTCGTTTAAAGTTTGATAAAGTGTAGTACCGACTATTTTCGGAAGTTCCTCTTCCCAAGAAGCTCCTAGAACCCATTCTAAATCTTTATCTGATAAAATCATTCTGTATGAACCGCGATCTCCTTGTCGTGCTCCTCGCCCCATAATTTGATATTCTTCAGATAATTCTTCTGAAAAAAATGTCTGGAGTACATGAATACCACCATTCAACAGGAGTTGTTGATTACGACATATAAAATCAGTTCCTCGTCCAAATGTTCGAGTTAATAGTGTAACTTTACCAACTGTTGCTGCTCGTTTAATGCATAGCTCTCTTTCTTTTACAGAAACTGTTTCTGTTATAATTTGTACATCGTGTTTGATAGAAGACAATTCAGAGGAATTATAAAATGTTATTAGTTTTTCTTCAGATTCGAAAAACACAAGAATCGCACGACTTGCATGACATACCGCATCAATTTCTCCACGAATTTCCATAAAATATTCACTATCCTTTACTGCGCGCACATCAGTTCCCGGATTATAAGTACGATTACTACTTCCAAATACGGATGGCATATACGTCATTTTGTGAACTTTGTACACTTTTTCTAATATATCTTTTTCTGCTTTTGCAAGTGTTTTCAAAGTACCGGTAACACCAGCAATATACTCAAAATCATGAGGCATTTCAGCGTAAGAAAATGTTCCACAATTTAAAATAATGCCTACACTATCATTTAGACTACTCTGACTAATATTACCTCTTTCTTCTTCATGATAGTATGCCCAAATTGTGTCATAACCACGAACGACATTATCTACTATAGATTCACCTTCGACATAAACAATCTTATCACTCTGAACGATATATGTTGATGATTGAAACGATTTTAAAGCAGCTAACATATCTTTTATGGCTTCATCGAAAAGAAAAATCCAATTACTATATTTATTTGCACAAGTTCTATACGCTGGCAGAGCTTTTACACTATTTAATGTTTTTAAACTCTTATTTTGCCAAATGGAATCTAATAATTCTTTTATGGAAGGATCTTTTAAATATACAGATGGTATATACATTCCACCATAATATTTATCGCTTAGAAAAACATCTACTTCATCAATCAGCAATACTTTTGGACGTATACGTACTGATGTATCAGCTGCAATAAGCGTACTTTGATTGGTCGCAATCATATTACGCACTTTTTCTCTGACATTACATTGTTCATTCAATAATTGTTCGCATAATCTATTAAAAGTACCATATTCAATACGTTCTTCTATTCCAAGTGCTCGGAAAACTGAAGCAAAATCGTTCTTATCTCGTGCACTTAAGACTTCACTATAGCATGAGCAGTTTACATCTACTCCGGTAAGAGCAAAAACACAAGCAGTAATTGCCATCACAACTGATTTACCTTCACCTGTACCTACTTGCACTAAATTATTAATTAAATCATCGGAAATTTTTCTGGTGAAAGGTACCTGATGTCCTCTGATTTTCTTGTAATTCTCGTAGCCGATGCCAAGCAGACGAAAAATAGCAATAACCTGACCAACATGTGGCATCAATAGATAAGACTGTGCTGCTTCGATACCACGCATCGAATTATAATGTTTGGTATTTTGTAAAGTCCAAACAGCGAAAATATGCGCTAAAAGATCAGGAATTTCATCTCTAAAGGAACGGTGCCAAGTAACAGACTTGGACGTAGGAGTTATTGTTCCAACAAGATGTTTGATTTCTGCAACTAACACCTCGACATCTGGTTCTTTATTAATGTTCTGATTGAAAAAATTTAGATTATTAGACACTAAGTTATCATATTTTTCTTTAAAAGTTTCGTAGCGTGATCTCAAAATTTTCTTCGAAATATCGTCTCCAGTTAATTCATTTAGTACATATTCCAGATTATCCTGTTTTTGCATTTTTTCTCGTCGTATTCGACAATCTTCTCCACTAAAACACGAATGTTCGCTAATTATTCGACTACCTATGTCTGATTTTTCTAATTCTACAGTTAAACTTGTCATACCTAGATTACCTTTTTCTTCTTTATAAACTTTAAGCGTTTTATCAATTGCTGTATTAATATTTACATCAAACATTGATAGATTTTCAGCAAAAAATTTCATCTTAATTAACATTTTACAAACTTTTACAGCATCTGAACAAGACTCGATAATTTCTTTACGTAAATTTCTTACTTTTTCAAGAATTTTTTCTTCTGATTGATCTAAAACTAATCGAATACTTTTTATTTCTGGAATACGCACATATTTTTCAAATGATAAAAGATGATTATAATACGTACGAAAATCATCAGCATCTTTAGAAGAAAGTTCCTTTCTTGATGCTTTAGCAAGTAATTGTTCACTAATTCTTTCGATTTTCTTTCCAAGATCTTCTATTTTATCTGCATATATTGTTGATGATAAAATATCTTTAAATTTCAGATTAATCTCTCTTAATATTTCGATTGTTCTCATTAATTTACTAAAAAATTCTTCGCGTTTAATTTCAAATTTTGTTGTTTCATCACTAACGAGTTCGACATTTAATTGATTCTTTAGTTGAATCACCATTTTCTCAAGTTCACAAATCATATCTGTATGCGAAATAATTCTTTTAATTTCTTCTAATAAATTTTTTACTAAATTATGTTTCAATTGACATTGTCTAATGTTTTGTAAAAGCTTATCCCATTTCTTCGATATTAACATAACTTTATATAATTCATTGACATTCACGTCGTCTAGAGCAGTCTGAAATTTTCTAAAATTTTCGTATAAATATTGTGACATGCTCTGGAATGCATATTCTACATCTCGTAATTCATTTTCTGAAAAGAATTCCTCGTCTCTTTTATTGAATGTATCAGAAAATTTTAGATAAGCAAGAATATCACTAAATGCTTTTTCGATTAATTGTGTTTGTTCAGCCGGAGATATATTAGCAAGAGTTTCACAACAATATGAAAATCCTTTTACTATTAGAATATGAACGCTATTGTATATTTCTGTTACTTCTGGAATATAGATACCGAGAGATTTTTCATATTTCAATATTATCTTGACAATAGAAACAGCGGATTGTATATCTTGCTTATCTAAACAAGTCTGCACGTTCGTTCGATAAATGTATAGCTTCTTTAAACTTTGTTCATGTAATTTATTAAAAAGATCATTCAAGTTTTGTTTTTTATACCATCCAGCTACTGACCCTAGTTTTATGATAGAATGTTCATTGTCATCCATATTTGCCAGCAATGTTTCGAGCTGTTGTTTATGTGCTTTTTCCTCTTCAGTAATTAACTTGCTCAATTCACCGATTTGTAAATTGAAATAAGTTTGCAAATCTTCCGGTAAAAAACATAATGCATAATTTAATGAACTTATTTTTACACAACGTTCATGCAATGGTGCATTACGTACTTCATTTATAGCTAAACTAAAACTTTGTTTAACTTTTCCTAATATTGAACGATAAGGTTGAATAAATCTAGCACTACCATGTGATGCAGCCATTTTTAATTTAGCTAATAGATCTTTAGGTGGATTGAGAGAATAATTGTTGACATCTGTAAAGTCATTTTTTTTCAAAATTTCACTAACTAAAAGATTTATTCTTTCTCTTAGTTCTTGAAATTTTTCATTAACACTTTGTGATATACAATAACCTGCTAATTCACGTTGTACTCGACTAAGATTTTCCATTCCTTGTTCAGCTTCAGGAAAACTATCAGTATCAATAAATGTTTCAATAGATCTAAGTCCTCTTAAAATTATTCTAGATAAAATTTCATTTATTTCTTTACCAAAATTTTGAAGATCATCTCGAGTTCCACCATCAAGTAGATTCATTATACGGTGTTTATTTAAAGCAATTCGAATTTTATCAATATTTTCTATTATTTCTTTTATTTGGGATCGATTATCTTCTTCTCGTTCAATTTTTCCATCGAGACAATTAGCAATACTTTTAGTATTGTTTATCAACTTAATTAGAGAACTTTGTAGATCATGCTCAATTTGAGCTTTATCTCTTGGACTTAACGGATTATCATCAATATCAGATAATTCTATATCTGCATTGGCATAATCTCCTTTTGACATGTACTCTAAAATAGTTCTATACGCTATTCTACATTCATTATATCTCTTTCCTTGATATTGTCTATATAAAGTTCCAAATCCATTACCAGCAAACACAGATATACAGAAACGATCAACACAGCTTAATGCATGCACAATAGTTAGATAATCATTTAATTCTCTATATAGAGGCAGTGGCAGGAGTTTTGGTTCGAGGGGGCTCAGCTCTCCCAAATTTTCAATTATGGATGATTGTTGGTTCTCTACCGCAGCTTTAAAAAGTTTTCGTGGGGGCTCATAAAGCGCAAGGGAGCGCTGAGCTTCCTCAAGTCTATCTGTGGTGCCGCTACTATCTCTATATCTTTTATCATCTTCACATGCTTTCATTTTATCATCCAGATCACGATGATATTTAAGAAATTCTCGACGCCAATGTTCTACTTTCGCAAATCCATCAATACATTCAAAAACATGCGGAAATCTATTAAGAGATGATAGCTCTTGCAAACGCATTTCTAAATCTTGAGAATGTTGAAAACGACCTCCTTCAGCGTCAATACTAATTATATAATTAAATGTTTTAGTTATTTCTTGATTAAGAAAATTACCGTATTCACTTAAATAATTTTTCAAAATTTCATGGGTATCAGCTGCATTTTCTTTTACACAATGATGGCCTACTTTTTCGCATTGACTTAAATACACCAACGCGTTATTTGCTGTAGACGTGTCTATTCTGTCGCTAAAATGGAATGATTGTTTATTTTGTCCACGTTCACCAATAATCCTCGTCTTCTCTTGTATATTTTCGTCAAGTAATTCATAGCTATTGAATCCTTTTTCTCGAAGGAAACTTATTTCTTCAGAAGATACTAAATTACGTGTAGCTAATAATGAGTCGTGCTCTTCTTTTATTAATTCAAGATGACTTAAAGAAATACTTAATTCTTCATTTTGCTTCGTACTCCATTGTAATTTGTTACAATAACTTTTTTCAGTTTCTGCAATCTTCTCCCGCACAACATCGATACTTGAGTATCCTACCGTCTTTAAATAACTCTCTGCCTGTGTACTTTTACCGTGCAATGCATCTCCTAGCATGCCCGATAGTTCTTCAGCTACACCTTGATCCGTCTCTGAAGGATATAAATTCATATATTCTCGAACAATTGAATTTAAATTCTCTAAGGTATGCTTCATGTCACGTTGTTCAGTTTCTGCTACTTGACGTGCATCCTTTTGCCTAGTTTTTAACTCTTCAATCTCGCCATTCAGTATAATAATATCTGAATAATGGTGTTTCCGTAAAAATATACGAGCTGGATGTAAATCATTACATTCATTTTTAGTTTCTTCGAGATTTTTCAACTCTTGTTTTATTAGATAAACATCTTTATCTTGTAAATTAAAAGTCGTTTGTATACAATCAAAGGCTGTCTGTGTACATTGTAAAAATCGTTGGAGTACACTTTGTCTGTGCTTTTCAAGTTCTGGAACACTACTCTCTAAATCACGCATAGATTCAATTTTTTTAACAATTTCTTGCACAATAGAAACATTATCTGGACATTTCAAACTATAATCTATATTCATCAAGCGATCTTCCAATTGACAAGCATGTTGCACTAACTTTTCTTTAATGCGTCGCATTAAAGTATCACACGTTCCTGGACTAACACGATTGATCCATTCTGCATTTTTCAGACGTAATAATGATTGCGCAAGAGATTTATAGCTAATCGTTACAGCTTGATTATCTATAGCAAATAGCAATTGCTCCGCCTCTATTTGCAATCTATGCATATAAATCTCTATGTTTTTAACGGTACTATTATATGTCCCAGCAGTCTTATATTCTACTCCTGGAATTTTACGAATCGCATCCATATCATCGATGAAGTTCTGTATATCTTCTAAAGCATGATCTTTACTTGTTTTAAAAAGTTCTTCAATTCTGCCGTTTATCTCATTGAAATAGTTCACAATTTTCATAATAAAATTATTATAAATTTCAGTCAGATCTGTGAAGATTTCTTCAGAAGTCCAATTTGTATTATACTGATTTGAGACAGCAATTCTTCCTTTCAACATATCAATATATGTCAAAATACGATCCTGAAGCGGAGAACATTCTTTAGCTGATCTCAGTATTTCTATATAACTTTTAAGAATTTCAATATCATCATTAGTTAATCGAGTCTTTTGTAAAAGTGGATCTGATCTCTCTGAGAAACTACTTAGGTGTTGTAAGAGCGATTTGACGATGTTGCAATATGTCTCTTCAACTTTCTCATCTAAATGATCTTTCAGGACACGCGAAGATTTATATATACGAAGAATAATTTCAGCGATTTCTTTGAAATTATTCGTTAGAATGAGTTCGCGAGCAGATTGTACTAATAAATAAAAACGCTTATCGAACTCTTTACAACTTCTATGGTAGTATATTTCAAGTTCTTTAAACGAGTTTTTAAGCATGCGAATATTATTCAAATGTACTCCAACTAAAGGATTATACAGATCTTCTTTATTCAGAGCCCAACGTCTTTCATTCAATTTGGAAATGATGTTTTGCATCAATGTTTCAGGTGATAATAGAAATGATCCTAAATGTTCTTTTAAGATTTGAATAATTTGAAGATATTCAACAGCAGCTTTATACTCATGAATATCGTCTTCTCTTAATCGATCTCGACTACCTAAAACACGATTAAATTTTCTCATTATTTCCATACAATATTTATTAATGTATTCACTTATCCAACGTATTGAACTTTCATAAGCCACTTGAACAAAATTTTGCTTTGTTAAATTGTGTAAGGTTTTCAAATCATTTAGGTAGTAAATCACAAGTTCGTTGTTTTTGTATTTCATTGCACAAATTATGCTAGACTTATCTTTTTCAACATGATTACTAATGCTAGTTCGTGTTTCTCTACCAATAGAAAATTGAAAAACTTCTTCCGGATGCTGAATACCTTTTGTACGTTTTAATTTTTTAATTAATCTTTTCCGATCACCATGAATAGGATCGATTTTGTAAGTATCTCCTTCAGTTTTATCGATCATATCTGACAATACGGTCACAAACGCAGTATCAAATCGCAAAAACCGATCTTTATTTACTTTCTGATTTTTAATATCCGTTAATACAGCATTAATATTTTTTTTCTCAGGATATTTTGTAAATGCGTAAATAATAGCGTCAAGTCGGTCGTCTATTTTATGCATCATATTTATTAATATATGCGCTAGTCTCTGAATTCCTTCACCTCTATCACCTAAACTTTGATAGCTTGACAAAGCAAGTATCTTGACACTCTTAGTCCCTTTCAATGCTTCGATAACTCCTACACTATTAGCAATATCTACCTCTACACCTGCTGTATCACTAAAACCAGGTGCATCACATAAAGTAATAATATCGGTTTCATGACTACCAAGAATATCCTTCAATGGTATCGTAACTGGTGTAATATAGCGTGTTTCTGATTTGTGAAATGGACTACTAGTCACATTATTCAATTCTGGATTCTTGACAGGTCCAATTGGTGTAATATGATCTAAAAATTTCCCGGGTTCAATTTCGACCTGCACCTCTTTCATCTCAGAACCTGCAAGAAATTGAATCGTAGTAGATTTTCCACTGCCAGTTTCGCCCACTAACAAAAGAATATCTTTATCACGGATTAATTCAGCAGCAGTTTTCGCTTTAGAAACGAGTCTTTTTATCTCTTGTACATTCAATGGTCTGATTTCTTTTTGAAGTTGATGTAAAATATTCACCGAACTTGAATCATTACGGCTGTTTACGGCTATTGTTAAATTTTGAAGACTAGTTTGAATCTCTTTTGAAAGTAAATCTTGCTTTTTAATCTGATCATTCAATTTACCTAACATCTCAATTACTGAATTTTGTTGTTGTGAGTACGGATAATCTTCTAATAATTTCTGTTGAAAATGTTCTAAAAGTTCCAATATGGTTTTTTCAGCACAAGGTGGCATAGCAGCAAAATCCTCACGCAGTTCGTTCAGATGTAACAGTCTTTTATTTTTCTCCAGTGCAATTATGTTACTTGAACTTGCAAGACCTTGTTTGACAGCTCTATTCACATTTGACTCGTTATCCTTATGGGGAATACTCGAGATAGATTCAGGATAAATTAATTCCGAAATTTTTTGTAACTCCTGAAGTTCCCGTAAGTACTTTTCTTCTTTCTCAATATCATCTATTCTTCCCTCGTCATCATATTCTTTGATTCGTACTTCTATTTCCTGTATTTTTTGTGATATTAAACTTACGTCTGGAATTTTTAGTTTTTCGAGTCCGTTCTTTAATTGTTGTCCTAGATCAGCAAGTCTATAGTCATTACTTTCCTTTGAAATCGTATTTTTGCTCTGCTGTCCATCAAGTGATTTTGACTCAGCTGAATATGTACTTGTTTCATTTCCGTCTGAAATATTCACGTATGGTTGACGCATCTCTGGACGTTGATAGCTTTCGACTGCAGCTAATAAATTTTTAATGGTTAATTTTGCACTATGTGTTCGATCATCGTGCTTTAACAGATTCTTTGTCTGCAGAACAGCAAATGGGTAAACTTTGGCTAATTGTTTTTGTAATCTGTCCGGAATGAAACTAGACCTATTGACTGGATCAATATATTCAGCTCGTTGAATTTGTTTGGCCGCTTGTAGTTCAATTAAAATACCAATCCAGTGGGAGTTTTCCAAACGATATGGAATTAGAATAATGCGATTTCCAATATTACATTTGCTTTCGTTTAGTAGCTCTTGTTCCAATTGACATTCGACATTGTCATCAATATCAGGTAAGACAGAAATTGGCTTTGAAAAGCGTTCGGGTGATTTTTCCAATTCAGCCTTTAAAAGTTTCTGAATATTATTGTAATTATATTGAAGGTGTTCCGTATCTTCTGAATATTCCATTAATTAAGATATTCACGTTTTTGTATGAAATATTTCACATAACGATTTACGTTAACTTCTAAATAACAAATGTATAGATAAAGAATACGTCAGAAGCTTATTTAAGGGAGAATATTTCTTCGGTGACCGCTCACTTCGTCGCGTTCAGTTCGTCGGAATGAAAATTCGTTGCGATAAGTTAGTCGTACATAAAGGAGAGAGTACATTAATTGAATAAAGTGATTCAGTTCAATATGTAACTAATTCATCACCTTTATAAATGTATTCCTTCACAATAATAACACTCTATTTTATTAATACAACTTTCTTTTTCAAAAAATGACAGAATTGTTAACTTACAATCAATTTGTTTTAAATTTAAATTACCCAAAACTCAAAGTTAAATTGTAACTAAAATTCTAGGTAGTTAATTTTATAGTAAATTAAATTTTTTTCAATTAAAATGTAATTAAAACATAGATTTACATGTAAAAAATATAATTTTTTAAATTTTCATTTAAAAAAATTCTTCCTCGCCTTCAAATCTTTTTTTAAAATGAAAATGTGTCCCCTCTCAAAAAATGATATCAAAATAATACTACAGGCCTATAGAATTTATTGGGATTACTTATTTTTTAATGTTCACAGTATCGAAAACCTAAAATCCATTTCGAAAGTTGCCAAAGCCACTTCATCCAAGAATTGAGTAACTTTGCAAATCACAGAAAATTATCCTAGAAATTACTGAACGAATTATGCAGCTCAAGAGAACGCACATTTTGTTTCATTTCTTCGTGGTTTTTCTTAGCTCCAGATTTCATCAGAAACCGTCTCGTTGAAAGATTTGAGTTGACTTTCAATTAATAGCAGACTATTTGCAATGTCACAGAAGAATTTTACAGAATTAAATCATTTTTTTTTCAAAATGGATCTATTATCCATCATATCGATCTAATTATTATTCCATAATAGAGTGTATATTTACGTGATTAATTGAATAACATACTAAACAAAATCACTTAATTCAATTAATGTACTCTCTCCTTTATATACAACTAACTTATTTTAACGAATTTTCATTGCGACGAAGTGATTGCGATGAAGTGAACATGGCGAAGTGTACTAGTGCCATTTCTTCATAATATTTTTGAAAACTACATTAATTATGACTTTTCGTAGTCTTGTCAAAAGAAACGCATTATGATCTAGATTAGACTACTTAAAAGGCAGCTTAAATGAGAGTTTTGACATAATTTATCAATACTTTGGACTATCTTATATACTTCCTCAACTATATAAGAAGTTAATTTGGTTATTTTATTTGTTCACTTGGCTATTAACGAATTCATTTTCTTTTTACTAAATTATAAAAATACAAAAGAAATTTTGCTTTCCCTCCTATGTGTGTCACGATGTGCGTGGCTTAGATGGGATAGGTTCGTGTTTTTTTTCGAACCGAACCGATACGAGTTTTTTAAAAGTTTAAACCGAATCGAAAGAAGCCGAGTCCCTAGTCAACTCTTCCTCAAAGAATTCCCAGGGAGTCCCCTGACAAATCCCGGGGACTCCCCGGGGAGTTGTCTGGGTAAATGGATGAAGTATCAAATTACTAGGAAATTCTTCTTAATTTTTTCAAATTTTAAAAAATTAAAAATGTTTTTTTTTATTTTAAAAAATCTGATCAATTCTCCACAGAGAAATCCCCGAGGAGTCCCCCAAATAAAAAGTCCCCGGGGAGAGTGGATTAGGGGTTAGAAATTTTAATGAACCGGCGAATGTGTTCAAGATCTAGTTTTGGATGATATTAGTGTAACGAATTTATATTAATGAGGATACATCCTATTCCGCAATGTTGAACATTCCGGAACCAGTTCTGTCAATTCCAGGAATTGCACGGAATTCAGTCCAATTCGGAATTAGGTGAAAGCGGAATCGTTGGGAATTAGACGGAAGGGATAAACGGAATTCCGGGAATCAGATGGAATAGATAGGCAGTGATTCCTGGAATTCCGGAATTGTGTTCGAAGTGATAAGCGGAGTCGCCGGAATTAGATGGAATGGCTTCCGTCAGCGGAACTGGTTCCGGAATGTTCAACATTGCGGAATAGGATGTATTCTCATATTAATTGGATTCGTGATATTACGAGGCTATGGATAACACCAAATTAAGATAATTATTTATTATTAATGTAAAACAAATAATACAATAACACTCTGGTTATAATAATTATAAGTATGTATTGTTCATAGCAAAATACACACCACAAGCTTATATATAAGTACACTTTAATTCTCGGCGGACTCTTCTTAACTCAACGAAACTAAACTAGTAGTAGCACGGAGCGTGACTCAATATCAACTCGATATCTACTGAATATCCCTCTCTATCTTTTTCCAACACAGAGGCAAGATAGGGAGAGCGAGAGAAAATAAAAGAGAGAGGAAAAGGGAGAGACAAACTATGGAGAAAATATACAGAAAAAGATTATGTGTTGCTCAAGTGAGAACAAGGGGTGGCATTTTTAAGGATGTCCATCTCTTAGCATCATATCAGTAAGTCTTCTGATGTCAGAATAATGCGCTTATTGATACTGTGTCAAAAGGAATGATGTTTATGGCTTGTTACAGCATTGATTACCTTGTTAGATCCAAGTGCTATACTCCTCAACATTATGTCATACAAGAGAACGTTCATCGTCTGTTGTAAACTCAATTAGTTTGATACGTTAGAATTACGTGCTTCTTAGTGCCATGTCATACCAAAGGAGGTCTGTCGCTTGATATTATCTCATGTCAGGATAAAGTGTTATTGGCACAATTGGTTTGTATTTTTTTGAAACCTCATCGAACGGAACCAATCTAATTGTTCAAAAGTTCAGACCGAACCGAACGCCACTGGCGTAGCCAGGGTAGGACCATTGGTCAATTGTCCAATAATTCAAGAGTTATTGCCCAAGGATTTTTTTGAAATGATACCAATTTCCCAATACCAAAAACTACTATGGTGATAGAACATCGGTTTCGTGATGGCAATAATTTTTAAAGAATTGTAGCCTGATTGGTTTTTTAATTTCCCAATGCGGCTCACTCTTTAAAATAATTTAGCCGATAAATAACTCATAACTAAAAAATTCCTGACTACGCCATTGCGAACCGAGCCAATCTAGATTTTTAAAAAGTTCCTATCGATCCGAATCGGTTCGGTTCGAAACCGGAACCGGTTCCACCTCCGGTGAATGTGAGTTTTGCCAAACTGTTTGTCATAATCTAATATGGAGCTGTTTTCATGTGTCTGTCACGCTTTAAGCCGCGATTTTGCCATACTGTCTCTTCACGATCTGTCCTGAGGGGTTCGGAAATCGTGTCCGATATTTTATTGATATTTCGGAAACTAAATTTTAGTTTGGTTTAAGGAAAGTCTGCAATTCGTTCATGCGTTTCAATATTTTAAGTCTTTTTTACTACTCATAGTGTGCGCTGGAGTAAAATACGGTCTTCTTCGACCATACTCACTATAGATGCTCCATTTTTTCTATATTCTAATTACTTATTTTCCTTCATCTCAATCAAAAATATGGGCCAAAGGCAAAAAATATCGAATACCAACGAGTAGCTGCCTAATTCACGTTCGAATATAAACGGTAAAAACGAAAAAAGCTAACCATAGCCATATAGCTAGCGATAATTTTAGTTTTATTTATATATACATAGTCCCCATGTAAGTGGAAATCGATTTAGAGTTAGCTTTTGTTAGCTCGACGTGCACGAACTTTACGTTTATTTATCGAATCTCCCTATATTTACAATAACAAAATCCATACATAGGAAAAGAGAAACAATAGGAGAGAGAAAAGAGAGAGAAAATAATAACTATTTAAAGATAGAAAAGGATAGAAGAAATATCACTAACAATAGTTAACCGCTAAGAGTTTTCGTTTTATTTATATATACACACATATATATATATATATATACACATAGTCTCAGAAATTGATAAACGGAAAGAAAAAGAAATTCATACTGAAAATAAAAGATTATATAAAAAAACTCGATTATTTTAGCATATCTGAAAAAAATCAATCGACTCTAAAACAACTAAATGCATAAAGCATAATTCACAATTAAAAAAATATATTATACTGTGTACACAGAGACGAGCATGGGTCGCGGCTCTGTGAGGAGCGCTGTGCGTTCCCAAGCCACGAGGCAGAAATGAAAGGAGTGTTACATGGGCACAGGTGGTACTTCTCAGCATGAGCAATGATTTATGTTCGAAGTTGCATATGGGAATGTCAAGCTTTCGAGACCTGATGTAGTGGTAACATATAATACAATCTTTGACTCGGACGATCCGAATGGAGTGCCTTTCATGGATGATCTTAAACAGCCGCTTGTCTATGTCTTTGTATCCTTCAGATCCGTACTGCCTTTTCGTTACTGCTTTGATATCGCTGCGAGTAGCTCTTCATGTTGCTTCTGCTTTGTTCTCTCTTTCCCTCTGATGCGAGCCTATATTGCCGGGTGCTTTTCGTCAGAACGATGGGATTGATAATGTGAAAACATCAAATAAAGGGTGATATAATCAACACGAGCTATGGGTGTGCTGGAAAAATGCCGAAAGGAAAAATATCGAATGGAAAAATGTCGAAATGTACATATTAATGTGGAAAAATGTCAAAAGTGAAAAATAAAAAAGCAATGATGCCTCAAGTATATGGCGATTGTAACCACATATATTTCATTGTTTTTTCTTATAATTTTACTAGTGTAGAATTTTAGTCAGTACTGATGGGGATGACTAACTATTGATACAAGTAAAATAGAGAAGTTGAATAAAGTAACAACAACTAATAAGTATTGGATATGCGCTATTAATTATTGTGAAGCTGAAGTGCATACTGATTCAAATAATCGATTGATGAAAACTGTTTGCAATCATAGTCATCTTCCAGGAAAAGAAAAGCTTGAGGTTCGTGAAACTCGTGAAAAAATGACATATTTAAAAAGAAGTTTTCTCACCC